AGACTAAAAGAATGTGTGAGTTTTTGGCTTTGCCTGACTTTCTCATAAAAAAAGGATTCGGGTCAAATAATCAGCTTAACTCTGCACACAAAAGGAGGTGTGTCTGTGTGTGGGGGGGTAGGGGGTTATTCCACAAGTAGGAGAGACCAGCTGCGGCAAAACGGTAGAGGGGGACAGGACCATCCGTCACTGACCTGAAATTCCTGAGACTGACATGTTGCTGTAGGATTTCCGCAGTCAACCACACTGCCTCGGTCAGGCGCCCATAATCAGCCGCTTCTGTGAAATATCCAGCCCTATTTAGCCTTGCAGGAAGTGAAAGCCCATATTTAAAGCATTGTTCTGGAGTGAGATAGGTCATCACAGCTTTGGCTTACAGTACTCAGTACTACAATAAACTCATTACTGTACAACTCACTACTGGAGTTTTTCAAAATTTAAGGAAGAGAGGTCAGTTTCCACTAATGGTCGAGCGATGACAGAACCTCTACCCGTCACGGGGCTTTTACAGATCCTCAGAGCCATGACCGTATTCCTAAAAGGGCGGCAGATTTAGGGTACAGGAGGAGCGCCTCCTAGTGGTCGTCATATACCTCAGCATTGCTAGACCCATCCAATCAGTGTTCCTTTTGTCAGCCAAAACCCAGATGACATCCCCCATGCCACCCAACCCAACTAAACCCCTTAAACCTCCTCCACATCTCAACGCCTCCTCTCGCCTGCTCTTTGCGACAGACCCTCAGACCGTTCGCCCTCATGTTCTCCTACAGAAGGACTCGCTCGTGGCGCCGCTACGACACAGATGGAGCACACCGTCATGGAGGGAAGAAGCCAGGCGCTGATCACAGGCCCATAAGGTTACACAACCATGGGGCAAGCAACAGATGGCCGCAACACCCCCAGCCATCCATGGATGGAGCCATAAAAGCCCCGTTGTAATTAGCATGAAGGACGAAACCTCAGGAAGAGGTTGCAGGTCCAAGGCCCCAAAGGAGCCCTACAGACAGCTCGAGGTTTGCTCTTCTTAGAGATGTGCTATGGAGGAACCCTTCATGTCAGACTCTACACAAGCAGCCTGGCACACAGTCCCAAGATAAATAAGATGTATCGCATCGTATAACCAATCCCAGAGGAATTCCCTCCCTCCGTCCATGGAGAAGGCACTGCCGCTTGGACTGGCACACAGACTACATTTCAAATCACAGCAGTTTTAAAAACGCATTCCCAGTGGCAGAACTCCACGGCAGTTTAAATATACTGCTCCTCTAAATCAATAGACACAAGGGAACATCTGAAGGCCCATTTGCATAACTCCTCGGCTCACACGAGCCGGCCGCTTCCTGCAGAGAGATGCTGTGCCTTCTCCTCCAGATACCGGCCTTCAGACGTGAGTCACCAGCAAGCTGAGAGGAGGTGGACGGGGTCAAGAGCGAGTGCTTCAGACAGCCCAGCGGGAGCTGGGTACCATTTCGGTTGCCATTTCTCCCATCGTGCCAATCATTCTGAGGCAACGTACAGTATGAGACTGGATGCTGTCACGGCAGAACATGAGTACACCATCCATACCTTACACAAACATGCCAGACGGCAAAAAAAAGAAAGCTAAAGTCAGTTGTCCATCTCATAAATTAAATACACCAAAGAGTAGGGGCAGTGTGTAGATCAACAAGGTAGAACGTTATGCCTATGATCGAAATGTTGGGCTCACTGTTGGGCCCCTGGACAAGGCCCTTAACCCCCAATTGTTCCAGGGACTGGCTGATCCTGCTTTAAATAAACAAAGGCAAACAAATAGTATACTGCTTTACATAAGTGCCTACTAAATAAATGTAGGGTTAAAACCTCAATTCTGAAGAAGAAGAAGAAGAAGAAGAAGAAAAAAAAAATGTATACTTCATTCTGGACACCAGTCATCTTGCTCCAGGGACATGACAGTAACAGCATGGGTTTAATAAGAGGCTTAAGCCCCCATTGTGCCTGTGGGGGTCACTGCTGACGATCTGCCACCCTTTGTTAGGCCGCGACCGCAGCAGAAACCCTACAGCTGCTGGTTGCCCGTCAGGAAACATTAAAATCGGGATCCTCCTCCGCAGAAGCAGCTCCAGTGAAGGAGCTGAATTTGCACCTTCTCTCCGTTTAGAGCGGGGTTCTACAAATCTGGCCCTCGATTCCAAATCCAGGCCTTGTTTTCAGTTCTCCCAGGTAGTTAGCTTAATAATTACCGATTCTGATTGGTCAGTGGCTTCACACCTGACTGACAGGTAAAGGAAGGCTGGAAAACCAGCAGGGTTCGGACCTCGAGGACCGTGATTTGAATAACCCTGGTTTAGAATTTGGCTCCCAACCCAGGAGGAGTACCAGGAGGAGTACCAGGAGCGCCTTGGGTGTGTCTCAGTCCTGTGCCGAGTACGACAGGCTAGCCTGCTGTCCAGAGCCTTCTCCTGCTCAGCCATAAAGCACACTACGCTCGGCAATAAAATGCAGGAAGCCATGAAGACATCTCAGCCAGAAGAAATCTGACACAGCAGTCCCGAATCATGCACACGAAAAAGACCACATTTACTCTGCCCATGTCCAGTGCAGAGTCAGGCAAGTCAAGCTAAATGACACATCGGGTCATGGCTCCATTAACGAGATGACCTGACATGCACAGAACCACAGGCGGCAGATCTGCCGCCAGCTGACACAAGCCCACCAAGGATGCTGAATGTTAAAATAAGCACTGTGCAACCACTGAAAATCTCATAGGGACAGCAGCCCATGCCAGTGGTACAGACAACTGCGGCAGGCATCATTACACCCAGTTGTGGGGAGGGAGGGGATAATGAATTAGAGTTACACACCTGTACAATTCTATACGGGCACATTTTAAGCCGCCCTCAATCCATTAGTCATTACGCACCAAAGGACCTGATTCAGATTACAGGGACGGCATCAGTGCTCTCACTATAGGTATAGGAGTACACACTTTAGATCAAGATTCCCTGTGGATATCAAGCTTTAAAAGAAAAGGCAAATATCAAAAATTGAAAATGAGGTACCTGGCTGATCTACTGTGTCACTCGCCGGTGTCTTTTTGGAACCATGTTTGCACAGCATGTGGAGACCGAATCACAACATGCCAATACGAGATTCTGCACAGCACACTACGGGACGATATAAATGCCTCAACCACGGATGCTAAGATCTATAAAACATCAGTACTAAACGGAGCTCATCTGTTTCCTATAAAGGACGTGGAACACCACCCACTGCTCACTCTGGGTCGTCCACCCACACCACACAATTTCATTAACTGCACATCCAGGTGCCCCTTGACCCGACGCCAGAAAAACAGGCCGGAGATAGATGCTCACCCGGTTAGCACTGGTAATTAGAGCGCAGGAGCACGTTTTCTCCTCAAACGAGCCTCAGGAATTCACACCCGTAAACTATCAGTCCATATTGAAGCAAAAAAAAAAAAAAAAAAAAAAGAAACACCCAGACTGCACTAAATGACGGTTTTTCCCACTCACAAGCATTATGGATCATCAGTTACACAGCTGGACTTCACTGTATAGACAGGCTGGGAGGTGCTGTTGGGCATTGGGCAGGGGAGGGGGGGCGTGAGCTAATATTGCCACCCGCAGTGCCATTCCAAGAAAGACCCAGCGTGGACCCGTGTTGCAGTCATACCATCCATATACAGGTATACAGTGGTACAAAGTAACATTTCCCCAGGAATGCAGTGTGGCATACAGACTGCAGTGACAGGGGAAGGGTTTGCGCAGGACTTAACATGCAAAACAGATGACAGTGTGAAACAGGGGGGCTGGACACAAAGGTTTATATACATAATGCAGTGAAAGAATGCAATCAATAAGTAACACAGCAGCATAAAGAGACGCAAAAAAATGCAGTGACTAAAACCAAACAATAAATAAATTCACAGCAAGCTCACGCTTGGCTCAGGCAGACCCCTGCTCACCTCTGCATCTCTCCATCGGCCAAGATCTGCAGACATCGATGCCTCCCTCACATTCCCACAATGCCATGGGGGACATCTGCTGTTACGCAACATCAAAGTAGGAAAGATGAGCGGGAGTCTAACTTAACATGTATGTGTGGCAGCCAACGGCCAGACAGCCATCACATAAACACCCTTCCAGAGTGGCTGGGCTGCAGATGGCAACGCACCTGCTCCTCATACTATGACCTGACTGCCTCACAAAAATGATGAGGACAGCCGTTTTAAGTCACTGGTAAGCAGACATGTGCAGACCTTTCAAAAGAATCTTTCAGGAAGAATTTTTCAAGAGCCAGTGGATTCAGCCAGGACTTAGTCCTACAGATTTCCCTGCATTTAGCTCAAATCTGGGCACAGTGCAAATACAAGCACAAGCACAAGCAAGCCAGAGCTCAAGGAGCAGACCAATGCTCACAATATGGGGTGAGTAATCACTCATTTCTCTACCAAAGTGTACAAGTGTAGAGCGGCCAGAAAGTGCTACGCTTAGTTTTACATGCTGATACTCCGATTGCATTACAATACCTCACATTTATTAACACCACGGATCAGGAAAGCACCAGGCACACTGCGTATCCCCCCCCAAAGGCATTACTCGTGACTTCAACAGAGACAAATTAAATCTAACTTAACAAGTACCCAACAAGTTTAGTATAAGTAAGTACTAAACACGAATGTTTAGAACAAATCGGATGCAGGCTTGTTATGATAATGTAATATTAAACAATCTGTTTGGGATAAATCTGCTTATTGGCATCTCGTTACACATATGAGCGGGTTCCGACAGCGCACTGAGGACCTGATCGTAATTTAAAACAGGAGAATCATAGTTTAAGCACCACAGATGTACCTAACATTACATATTCACAACATGAAGATGCACTTTCATAACACCTACCCCTACCGAAAGTATCCAAATCACTACTGAAGACGAAACGCTGGCGTCCAGTAAAGGAGAACATGCGGAGATGATAATGGTGATGGAAAGGTGTACCTTGAATGTGTTTGTTGACCACACTCTCGAGTCGGTTAAGTCTCTCGATAATCCGTAAAGTTTCCCCTCCTTTGCCACCCCCATCTGCCTTTTTCTCCGGTACCGGCTCCGGGGTCCGGACGTACACGTTGGCGATGTAATTAGTGACCCATCCGACATACAGCAGGCACGCAATGTTGGTCATGCCGCTCAGGATCACGCACGTCGACACCAAACTTTTGGTTCTCCTGGCGCAAGCCATCCCCAAATACATCCATGAAGTCCCCGGCCGATCGGACAGCCACCCCGGTTAGCCTGAAGCCCGGCTCATGTGGACGGAACCGGACAGCCAGAGACCCTGTTACTGCATCGGCAGAGTCCATACACCCCACCTGGGGAAAGAAAGTGTGACCCCGGCAGACTCTGTAATCAGCGCGTTACGGAGCTCGCAACGGGGGGGAAGCGCAGCAGTCGGGGGGCATCGGAAAGCGCTGGTAGATGTAAGATCAGCAGCCTTCCAAAGCAAACCACTATTAACTAAATGTAGACTATTTAGCTGCGCGGTCCGGGATGCAAGTAATACGGAACCGCTGGCCAATCAGACGCGTGCGCTGAGCCTCTGGCCAATCAGAGGTGTGCGCGGAGACTAGGCTAGCCAATAAAGAGTCGGGGGTGTCTTTTCCAACCACGTTATTCCCAGGACCTTATAATGATAAATAATTACTCCGAAGTACTATTTTTTTCGAAGGACAAAGCATGTCTAGCAGATTTTTTTCTAAAAATCTGTGAGAAGTTAACAGAAATTTCCTCAGCTGCATCTGCCTGGCTTGCCAGATCTGATCGTGTTTGTCCCGGAGATTGACAGAGCGAATGCACTAGGAGACTGCTATTAACAAGCTATTAATATTTGACATTGACAAGCTGGGATCGTCATATTAAGCTATGTACGTACATAGCTTAATATGACGATCCCAGCTTGTTTTTCTGTTGTTTAAAAAAGTAATTATAATATGCTTCTTGCCAATAGACTCGCCGGTAATCACCCAAATAAATACTACCGCCCATCAAGCTGATAATTATAATTTAAAATACAGTAAAAAATAATTAAACAATTAATTGGAGTTTGAAGGGAAATTTCACGGAGGTTTGGCCGAGAATCACAGTGCAGATTTTAGCACCAATAACGTTTGTGCAGATTAGTACCGTAATTGCGCTGCAGTGTGTTTGGATCGACTCACATATTTTCGGATTAACGTTATTACAGAGACGGGAAAAGCACCGAGGAAAGCTAAGTAGGGGCACTGATGGATAAATGACACTGTTAGAATAGTGTTAAATTAAACATTTAATTGCCAAACAAACAGTTAAGTGTTTATTATAAACGTGTCGGAACTGAAAAGGCATACTTTTTATATCCAGCCGTGGGTAGCCTATATATAATCACGCCGGGTATTGTGGCCGCTTCCTGTTCATTTATTAGTTACATGCATATTTGTTTAATCCCAGTTACTGATGAGTTAACCAGGAATCGGTTACGTGTATGCATTACACATTATAGTCTCGCCGGGAGTTTTCGAGCTGATTTTATACATAATTTTAAAGAAAACCGTATATTCGCATTAAGCATCTAATCAGAATGTAGACTTGTGAATAAGTATACGTATGCATCAGCTGTGTTTCATGAATTGCGTTTATCTATCAAACAATTCAGTACAATTCAGTGCTTAAAAATATGTAAGACATTTTAATCCCCTTCTTGGTAACTTGGCTCCGAACAGAAATCCACTGCTAATTTAAAATGATTAAAATATCACCCTTGGTGGATGGAGTTAAACTAAGCTATGATGAGGAAAACTTTCTTTGCTGCTAATTATCATTTAAAAGTGATGTCATGGCTTGGCAAGTCAGACTGCCCGGTGATTTATTATTGCTTATTCTGTCCTCACATTGAAGTGACAGAGCACTAATGACTGGCTAAAATCTTCCATTATCAGATTGTATGGCCTTTTAAGATGAGTACGCTGCTTTTGGTTTTAGGGCAGACAGAAATGGTAGAACTAGGCCAACATATCTTGTGTTTTACACAATGAGGCATTTAGTAAACAAGACCGATAACTTCCCAATTATATCGACTGCATGCCAGTATTCCAACACTGAGTAAAATATGAAAAAAATATGGTAAATGTAAGCTTGTTATATCAAAATGACACAATCATTCTTCAGTCAATGTTTAAAAACGAGCCAGGCACCCATGAACAATACCAGAATTTTATGGATCCTTACTGTTCACACTCCAGTATACCAGCAAGTGGCTCATCTATCCATACATCCATCCATCCATCCATACATACATCCATCCATCCATCCATCCATTTTCTGCTGCTTATCAAAGGCTGGGTCGCGAGGGCAGCAGACTGAGCAGGGCTGCCCAAACCTCCCTCCCCCCAGCCAACTTCTCCAGCTCTTCAGGTGGGATTCCAAGGCGTTATCAGGCTGGCCAAGAGACATAATCTCTCCAGCGTGTCGTGGCTCTGCCCTGGGGTCTCCTCCCAGTGAACATGCCCGAAGCACCTCTCTAGGGAGGCATGGATTACTCTGAGCTCCTCCTCAATGTCTGAGCTCTTCTCCCCTAAAGATGGAACACATCCTCGGCCTTTGCCAATCCAAAGGCACTGTCCCCAACCTTCACCCAGTGTTACAGATGCATATCTGTCAAGACAGTCCAGTATTGTCAGTGAGATTCAGGAGGACCTCGAAGTAGTCCTTCCACCGCTTGACTATATGCCCATTTGAGGTCAACAGCGCTCCATCCCTCCTGTAAGCCCTGCTTACCCCTTCAGAGGTTCCTGATGGTGTTCCAGAACCTTTTGGAGGCCGACCGAAAGTCATTTTCGATGGCCTCACCAAACTCCTTCCACAGCTGAGTTTTTGCTTCAGCACCTGTCAGAAGGCCTCCTTCTTCAGGCCGACAGCTTTACTGCTGGTGTCCACCACTGGGTTTGGGGATTATCACTGCGACAGGCACCAAGAACCTTATGGCCACAACTTCACACACCTGCCTCAGCCTTGGAGGCCCAGGACATCGTCCTTTCAGGCTCGATGTCTCCAGCTTCCCTTGGGATGTGAGAGGAGCTCTGCTGGAGGTATATGTCGAAGCTCTAAGCCATGGTTAGCACATCAGTCTGTCTGTAACTGCTATCTTCGAGGATAGTTTGCCTGTCTGACACTGTATCGCTCAACAGTCAGCACCTACCAGGACATTTTATGGGCAATAATTTACTCCAGGGACTGAAAAAAGCAGAAAGTACTATGCGTACGATTAAGCAAGCACATATTTATGTATGCTGTGTAGGTGGTTTCTCTGTTCTTACTGACAAGTCATAAAAAATGTTACTTTTATTGTCAGTTAATTCCTTAATAGTCGATGGATATAAATCACTCACATTCATTAACTCAAAATATGTAAATCCCTTGAGCAGATGACTGATTTGACAAATATAAGCTTGAAAAAGCAGGGAAGCCTCTAGGTCCCCGACAACAGATGTACAGCATTTCTGAATAAAAAGTGCAATATTTCTCTGTATTTCTGTGGCAAAGCTTTTGCTAAATCTTTGTAAGAACTTTTGTAAGATTAAGCAAGTACAGATTACTGTATGTTGTGTAGGTGGTTTCTCTGCAAGTAGTTTTACCTTTAGCGTAGACATTAAAAATCCCCATTTCCATAAAAGTTGGGATATTTTCTAAAATGCAACAAAAACATTTGTTTTTTATTATATTGTATTTGTGTTGAATTGCATATTGTGTTTAATTGTATTTTGCAAATATATGCAAAGAATGTGACGGCTGATATACACTCAACAAAAGTCGAGACAGAGTTACAATAAGTTCACAGAATATTCCAGTAACACCAGTTTGGAAGACTCCACATTAAGCAGACTAATTGGTAGCAGGTGAGGTATCATGATTTGGTATAAAAGTAGCATCCATCAAAGGCTCAGTCTTTGCAAGCTGGGATGGGTTGTGGCTCATCCCTTAATGTCATAATTTGTGAGTTAATGGAAACGTTGAACATTCCTCAGTGTAAGATTGTAGAGAATTTAGGTCTTGCAAGAGTGATTGTAAATAACACTGAAAAAATTCAGAGAATTTGGATTTGGAAATCACTGTTGAATGCATGTGATCTTCAAACCCTCGGGCAACGCTGCCTAAGAAACCGTCATGCTACTGTGACAAATATTAATTGCCACATGGGCTTGGAAGTATTTCACAAAACCATTGTCATTTAACACAGTCTGTTGCTGCATGCAGAAATTCAACTTGAATTATGCAAGAGGAACCCATACATCAACTCTATGCAGAAATGCAGGCGAGTTCTTTGGCCCCGATCTCATCTCAGATGGATTGAAAGACTGTGGAACCATGTGCTATGGTCAGATGAATCCACATTTCAGCTTGTTTTCGGAATGGCCGTCGAGTTCTCTGTGCCAAAGATGAAACCAACCATCCAGGTGGCTATCAGGGAAAGGTGTAAAAACCAGCATCTGTGATGGTACAGGGGTGCATCAGTGCCCATGGCATGGGTGAGTTGCATGTATGTGAAGGTACCATTGAGTTTGAGTTGAATATTAAGATTTTAGACAGAAACATGTTGCCATCAAAGTGACGTCTCTTCCTGGGACGTCCATGCTTGTTTCAGCAGGACAATGCCAGACCACATTTTGCACAGGCTACAACAGTGTGGCTTCGAAGACACAAAGTGCGTGTGCTTGACTGGCCTGCTGTCAGTCCACATCTGTCTCCTATTGGAAATGTATGGTGCATCATGAAGAGGAGAGTCGGACAACAGTGACCACGGACTGTTGAGCAGCTGAAGTCTTACATCATGCAAGAATAAACAAAATTTCCTGTCGCGAAATTGCTGCATTTAGTTCCAAAATGATTAAAAAATGTTATTAAAAGGAAAGGTGATGTAACACAATGGTGAATTTGCCTCTGTCCCAACTTTTGTTGAGTGTGTTGCAGCCATAAAATTGTAAGTTTGGGTGCATTTGCAAAATACAATTAAGTTGGTCAGTGAGACTGTTGACAATCTTTTCTTTGTACCTTTGTCAGTTAAACATGAATTAATGAATCAGATTTTTGATTTTTATTGTGCTTTAGAAAATATCCCAGCTGTTCTGGAAATGGGGTTTGTTTAAATACTGATAAATACTGAAGTATATGGTGGTAAAATTCTCACAATTCAGTGAGAAAAGCTTCTGAAGAATCTCATAAAATGAGCCTGGGAGGTAAAGAGGCCCGGTAATGAAGATAAACAACGGTGCTGTGAGGCATATGGGACTGGGTTAGCAGGGCGTGTGTGTGTGTGTGTGTGTGTGTGTTGGGGGGGGAGGGGGAGGGGCACGGTCCCTTGTTAGCTCACCTTGAGATATTGAGCTGGGCTTCACCTTCTCTTTTCACCCCCTCTGTAACCGTAACCCTCGCCTCCGCTACCTCATCACCCTCTCACTTACAATCTCCCCTTGTCCCCCT